GGCATTAAAGGCTGGTACTGATCACAGGCTCTGTAGTGATGCAGTCATAAGGATGGCTAGCGCAGCGCAGAGGTGCAATGATTCCCGGACATTCAGTAGCGCAGTTCGAGCTCACATTCATGTGATTTTGATATTTCAAACAAAGTCAAATGATTTACTTACGTTACCTCTTAAACAGTCATTTTAAAGAAAGAGAATTAGCTGCTCAGCGGTCGTAATCCTTCTTCAACCTTGGTACACGGATTGATCTCTTTCTTAAAGGGACAGCGCATTTTACACAGACGAGAGCGCGGGGGAGAGTTTCTTCATGGGAACCTTGCATTGACTGTGGTTCTTGAATTAATCTAAATATAATTAATAAAGTCTGAATCTAAACATGCACATGTGAATAATAACATTAGTTTGTCCATTGAAGCTGTTCTTCATGTTAACTACAGTGTTCGGTGGAACATTTTAAGATGATTTACTATATTATCGCCAACTGATATCCATCGTATCATTTGTTACAGGCTTCAGAAGACTTAAAAAAAAAACAGTGAACACATTAAGCATCCGACACTCACTGGTTTTCATGGTGCATTGTGGGGATTTCTCACATTACTGTGTACTTAAAGTGCATTACACTTTATTCACTACATTACAGTCCTAAAACTATTCCAATTAAATACACCCGATTAGATTTAAGATTTTAGATGATTACAGATCTGTTCCTGTTCCAGTCCTGTAAAGTGTCTTGTGAGGTAAGAAAATATTCATAAAGTCTTACACAAAAATAAACATACTGCCAATGCCAAGTTTATTACAGAATAAAGGTTGAGATATCGGATACAAACGTCAATTCTAACAATCAAATGGTTTAACTTGTAACCCCACCACCCAACACATCTAGACAGACCTGAATGCTCAATTTTACTGCTTATTCATTTTGATAAAGATAAATTTGGTAAATCAAACCCTGCTTGTCTAGAAGTAACAGTTCATTCACACAAATTGAAATGTCTAGTAACTTTATTTCGCCATCACATTCAGCTTCAAACACACACTTTGCTTTGTTTTTATCAACCTGTGATGTTTAGATTTATTTCATGCACGTCTACATGCTATGAAAGACCAAACACGTTCTGTAAATTTCTGGTAAGTGCCACAAGGAGGAGAAAAGACAGAGTAGCAGACTAGTATGCAACATACACTTGCAAAACTTTTCCACCAAATCTTTGTCTGAAGTTCCTTCAAACATGAAATCATTATGTAAAATCAGCAGTAAGCTAATCAGTCATACATCATATCCTAATTATTATGCAATACGACCACAACCACATCCTCTTTTCTAACACCTGCCTTATAGGAAAAAAAAAAAAAAGAACAGGTACAAATATCTGAAAAGGCCTCTATAAATTACAAAATGAATATAAATTTTTGGAAACATAAACAGGCCAGAAAAGTGAAATCTTAAACCCAGTGAAACATTGAAAAGAAACCCTGAAAAACAAAACAGGCATGACTAGATGTAACACACATCTTCAATAGTTCTTCAGACTACAGTTATTTCAAAGCAGGAAAACAGCCACACAAAAACACATGATAATGAAAAATAAATATTTACAAAACTATGGGACACACTGTTCCCGATAATTTGATCCACCCTACAGTGAAATATGAGGATCACTGTCCTCGATACATGCACGCCGGTAGGCAAAAACTACCTTCGAACACTCCACATTATGGAAGACACTGCTCCCGATAATGGATTTAGAATAGAAACATAAATGTTACAGAGAAATGCTGTTGTCACAAAAATGCTTGAGCCCACAAGTTTGGTCAAAATGGAAACTAGCCTTGCCAATTTATCAAACTGTTTCAGAAAAACGTGAACAACAACTACAAAAGACATACTTTAATATAAGGAAATTTATAAAACCATCCTTTAACCTTTAACCAGGCCATGTTGTTAAATGGCTTAATGCTCTAGTTTCAATTTGACCAATTTTGGGCTTTTCTTCAAAAAAAACTTTTTTTAAAGAAGAGGAACTACTCCGTAATATTAAAACAGGTGCTTTTGAGCTTATTTCCTCAAGCACCTGTAACAAGAGACATTTCTAATGTCAGCTGTTGGTAACATGTATTTCTGTTAGCAGATGCTGCTTTTAAGAACTGACAGTATAACCGTCACAATTATGGAAGGCACTGCTTCCGATAATTAAAAAAAACTTTTATAGTGAACACTGTCACTGATAAATAAGAAATAAATACAGTATGGTCCTCAGTTGGTCACAGAGGCTGAGTTGGGGTTTTATATGAAGTGCGCAAGGGACTAAAATTCCCAAGTAGCAGCCGAGGACAAGATTTACTCAATAAGCACATGTGCAACTTGATAACGAGTCATGATGAGAAAAACATTTTCAAGGTAAACCAGAAATGACATGCACCTTAGAACAATTTGCAGAGGAGCAAAGTTGATGACCTTGTGCTCTGATTTCTTTATCAATTAAATATTGTATTACTTATCCCTAGTCCTGCAATATACACACTCTACCGGTCAAAAGTTTGGGATCAGAACTACTTTTAATGTTTTTTACAGGAGTCTCTTATGCTCATCAAGGCTGCATTTATTTGATCAAAAATACAGGAAAAAAATGTAATATTGTGAAATATTATTATAATGTAAAATAACGTTTTTCTATTTTAATATACATTAAAATCTAATTTATTCCTGTGATGCAAAGCTGAATTTCCATCAGCCATTACTCCAGTATAAAGTGTCACATGATCCTTAAGAAATTATTCTAATATGCTGATTTATTATTAGAATTATCAATGTTGGCAACAGTTGTGCTGCCAAATGTTTTTTTGGAAACTGTGATACTTTTTTCAGGATTCTTTGATGAATAAAAAGTTAAAAAGAAGAGCATTTATTTAAAATAGAAATATTTTCTAACAATATACACTAGAGTTCAAAAGTTTGGGGTCAGTAAATTTTTATTCTTTTTTTTTTTAAACAAATTAAAACTTTTATTCAGCAAGGTGATAGAGTGTGATAGCAAAGTGATAAAGATTTATATTGTTAGAAAAGATTTATATTTTGAATAAATGCTGTTCTTTTAAACTTTTTATTCATCAAAGAATCCTGAAAAAAGTATCAGTTTCCAAAAAAACATTTGGCAGCACAACTGTCACCAATATTGATAATTCTAATAATAAATCAGCATATTAGAATAATTTCTTAAGGATCATGTGACACTTTATACTGGAGTAATGGCTGATGGAAAGAACTTGAGCACCACTGAATTAGCTCTACCAAATTTCTCAGGGTGCATAGGCACTAATATGCACTTTTGTTAATACAAAAATAAGATTCAAATTTAAATTTAAAATGAAGGAATTAAGATAGAATTACATTAGTCTATAAATTCAAATAATAATAATAATAATAATAAATTACTTAAAGCTGCAAGCAGCATTGAAAGGGCCCTCGCACCCAGAGCCACCTCCACCCGGTGGCCTTAGGAAAACCGTAAACTGTGGGCAATATGCATTTAAAGTGTTAAAAGAGAAATTTTAATTTGAGAAATGTCAAAGTTATTTATATGTGTGAAACTTCCTGCTGCCAGCAGGTGGCGCTATGACTACAACTGAATATTGGCATGGGCATGTGTTCAGGCAGGACTCTTATCAAACGTGAAGTTTGGGGCAGATCAGACATTGTATGTCTGAGTTATAGCAACTTCCTGTTTCATGGCAAAACATCATAATTTGCCCTTCAACGAAAACTCAGGATCTTTGCAATTTAACATCACAAAAGGCTTCAAATTATACTGAGCAAATTTGGTGTTGATCTGATTAAATCTCTAGGAGAAGTTCGTTAAAATACAACGCCTGAAAATGACAAAAACTAAACAAAATTTGCAGAGAAAATTCAAAATAACCGACTTCCTGTTAGGTTTCGGATTTTGCTCCGAGATACTTTTTTTTTGTAGGTATTGGTGTGTACATGTGTCTACCGAATTTCATACATGTACCAGAAACGTAGCTTGAGGGGCACTTCGATGAACATGTATAGATGGCGCTATTCAGCCATTTTTGCAACACCCACTTCTGAAAGCTATATCAGATGTACATTTTCGTCACTTCTGGTGTGTGCAGTTTCATGAGTTCGAGCAGGTTTCTAGCCTGAAACAGCAATCATCAGGGTCCAGTCACCAATGTCCCATGTGAAAGATTAAGTGATAAAAGTGCCATTTATCTCTGCCTACAGCCAAGTCAACAATCTTGGAATATCCAGTTGATATGGAGGGTTTTAATAAACACAGAAATAAATTATATTCTGAAAAGGCAGAACAGAGAGAATTTATATGCACACATTCATTTATTAGTCATAGTGGGCCAGACCTAAGAAATATACTGGCAAATTTTCACAAAATTGGGTACACATTTGTTTTCACACAATGAATAAATCTGTCCATTTTAATAATGATTGGAAATTCAGATTTTAAGTTATTACCCAGTGAAATCTGACTGTCCACTGGAAGATATGTTTAATGCAGCCAATTCAACTGTGTTATGTGCCAAGTTTCAACTTAACCAATCATATGGTTATGCTATTATTAAGGATTTTCAGTTGTAGCATCCCCTATAAAGTAGGTGCAAATTTGATACAACTTGGTGTGCATTAGAGTCTGCATGAGTTGATGTGCATATTTGGGACAATCCTGCCAAGCTTGGGGTCCCAACAATTTATGGTCTCAAATTCCTATATAACTTCATGCCAAATAAATAAAAGGAAGAGGAGGATAAGGAAAAGTCTCAACTAGATATATAATTGATACGACTTGGTACGAGGGCTGTGCGATTAATCGAAATAGTCACAAAATCGCAATTTGAGCTTGCGCGATTTCTAAATCGCTTTATAACACGATTTTCCGCACCAACGATGTAGCTGTCGCAGAAAAGGTTGTATTTTCTTTTAAGTATTTCAGTCATTTATTTTGTGAAAAGGTATTTAGTTCACAAATGGTGTGTAATGTATTATGAATGTTCATTTGGAAATTGTATTTGAGTATTGGTAAAAATTAACATGGATTGACACGGAAATGTAGTAATTATACCATAAATGCATATAATTAAAGTCTAGTGTTTCACAGTCAGCACATGGCTTTTTGGCTAGATTTAAAACAAGGAGAAGTGCACTTTTAGATAAACAAGGCAATAATAGATGGCACTCGTGGTGGTAGTTAAACAAAGTTATATTTATTGTATTAGATCAAAAGGGTGCTTCTACTAAATACTGAGCAAAGGGTCTGAATACTTAGGACCATGTGATATTTCAGTTTTTCTTTTTTAATAAATCTGCAAAAATGTCAACGATTCTGTGTTTTTCTGTCAATATGGGGTGCTGTGTGTACATTAATGAGGAAAAAAAATTAACTTAAATGATTTTAGCAAATGGCTGCAATATAACAAAGAGTGAAAAATTTAAGGGGGTCTGAATACTTTCCGTACCCACTGTATGTATGTGTGTGTGGTTGTACATACACATATGTAGTTGTTTTTTTTGGTGTTTGGCTTAGTGTTATGTTAGAATCATTATTATGCTCTTATACCTTTTGTTCTTTAATATTTTGAATTGTTTTTAGCTTTATTTTTGTTTTTCATTTAAATGTTAAGTTTTGAAATTTTGTTGTATGCATTTGTCATTTTTATTTAATCTCTATTTTTAAAATGTGTATAGGTAGTATTTATAAAGTTTTAGCTTTTAATTTTGGATCTGCTTCTAGTTGTTTTAATACTACAATTGATTGCTTCTGTTGTCCTCATTTGTAAGTCGCTTTGGATAAAAGCGTCTGCTAAATGACTAAATAAATAAAATAAATAAATGTTACAGCTTTTTGATAAAGCTCTAATTGTTTTTTTTTTGGAAATATGTTTCAAATTCACACTGAATGCATTAATGACTGTAAAGCATGTCTGTGTGTGTCAAAATCGTGATTAAAATCGAAATCGCAAAATTGATCAAAGAAATCGCGATAGGTTTTTTTTGTCCATATCGCACAGCCCTACTTGGTACCATAACACACTATTCATTTATCATGACAACCCTAGTAGATATACGACTCATTATTTGTCATTTAAAAAACAAACTGTAATTGGATGAACAAAAGACTATAATAAAATAAATGTTTCTGACATTTGAACACACTAAACTTACCAGTAACAACACTATCCAAACTGATGTAAGTAAAGGCTTTTCTGTCCAGTGACGACCAGTATCCCTGTATAACAAAGAAGACAACACATTACAAAACCTGCATTTCAGATCAAACTATGTGCCAATATTCAAACCAATCACAGATGACATCAGCACACAAACCTCAAGCCATTCAGTAACTCCAATGTTTCCAAAATCCCCTGCGGTCCAGCTGGCAAACACAACACTTCTTTTGGGTCTGAAACTACCTATGGTGAAGAGGTTGAGGAGTGAGCCCATGCCACAACAATTAGACTTTAACATTGTCCCTCATTTTGACAGACAGGGTCGAAAAAAACTCCATCAATCTATTATTACTCATTTAATTTTCATATTTTAATTATAATGACAAATTTAATTGCTTTTATTTTTGTTGACATTTTCATTTTTAATCATGAACCTACAGGACATGCATATAGGCTTATGGATTTATTTTGAAGAGAACAAATGAACAGAGACTGTGTGTCACTTTTCCTGTTCGACACCACACCCCGCAGTGACAGCGGAGACCATTAAAAACAACAAAATATGCTATAAAAAAAAATAAATTCTCCATTTTAATAGATTCTAATTTTTCTGAAAAAAAAAAAAAAAACATTCTTAAATCCCAATTGATCTTTTGGTCTATGCTGTTTTTAGTTGTTGAATGAACAGTACATAGTGCACCTCCCATCCAATAAATCGCAATAGGCTAAGCTTTGTGCTTTGTTACTTTTGATATAAAACAAAGTCTCCGATTTCAAATTCTGTCAATTTCATTAGGAAATTCAAGCAATAAATACTGTTCTGGCATTCTTTAATGTGGCGATAGATCGCTGTAGCTTAAACTGGGTACTCGCCTGCGCATAATCAAAACGCGTAGCAAAAGTCTTGTGACAGTTTTATTTTTGTTCTGGAGGCTGATGGTCCCTCACTCTCCTGCCACACTGGAGTGCACTCACCACCAACTGGACAGGGGTGGGAATTACAGTTACAAATTACATTAGATCACCCTCAGTGTAATCTGTCAAAGTGACGGACAGCCTTCAGATTTTCCCGTCACTGCTAAAAAAAAAAAAATCTGTAAATGACGGAAAATGTTCGGTTAACGCGTCCTCTGGTAAGGTCATACCTTTCTTCAACTCTGTGAAAACCCTCGCAAGCTCCAGCAGAAGAGCAGTGCCAACTGTAGACTTGGCATATCCCGAAGTCAAGGAGTCTCTCTGTGCTCCAATCACAACATAACGATCTGCCGGATTCACACCACCACAGTGAGATCACAGATATTTAATTCTATAGATGCGTTTAAGAAAAATGCACAAACTCACCAGGGTCCACATAACCTTTGATGACTCCAAACACATTATGGATCTTGGTGTCTGCAAGATTATTATTGACTGCTACGGTTACTTTGTCACTCTCACTTCCCAACTTGTAACTGGATAAGTCACCCTTAAATCTATCAGGAGCACCTTCTCCTCCCATTTTTCTGTGAGAAATTTGAGAATACCAATCAAGCTTTGTTTCTCAAAATAGGTTTAAAAAATAAGATCAAGGTAAACCAAAACCTATAACATACTCAAAGATTGATTGTGCCATGTTAGCAGTGATTGTCTGGGCAAGTATTCCTGGAAGACCAGAGGACTTGGCAGGAGGAAATTGTCTGTGATTAAAGGATGGGAATCCTGGGGTGTAAGGATCACCTGATCCCAGGTGGACCTATAATTAAAGACCGGAATATGTGAATAAATTTACATTCAGTTCAAACGGTCACAGTTACTGATTTTAAATTAATCATATGAGTCAACATTTAATCCCTTTTTTCAAATGTAGAAATTGCCTTCATCTTAAAAATGTATATATAGATAAAATAAAATATTTATATTAGAACATATTATAAAGTAAATAAATTGCATTTTAATCTACCAATTAAAAAAAATAATTACAAAAGGTAAATATAACAGCTCAACTCAAAATCAATATAAACAAACTTAACTCAAACATATGAATACCATTCTTTGGCGTAACTTACATGACCATAAAGTTCAGCATCCCAAGACATAGTTTTATAGTCAGCTGGGTCTGGGTAGATCAGAGCTGCTACGGCACCCATTTTAGCTGCATTCATAACCTACAATGGTGACAAACATAATTTGATCAGCACTAGCAAAAAGTACCAGATTGTTACAATTAACAGAGATATTTGGCCTTGAGTCTCTAGGAAAACACTACAAGGTCAGATGAACCGTTACTCATGAATCACCTTCTGAGCCATGCTGATTTTTCCAGCTTTCATCAGTACAACAGATCCATTTAGATTCAGTCCGTATTCTTTATTCTGCAGGTCAGAAAGCTCACCATAGTTGGCGTACACCACTCTGCCCTGTGAACATAATTGTTAAAAAAAAAAAGTTGTCAATTATGGAACAACCATTGAGCTAAGCTGACTAACAAAAGAAAAAAAATCAAGAAAGGCAAGTGTTTCCTGCAGAGGAAGATGAAGGCTCACCTCTCTACGTCCTGTTTCACTGTAAGCCAGGAACCCTTTTGGACTTCCGATCTCCACTGCACCAAACAACACTTTGTTTGGATTGGAGCTGTTAGGGTTACATACAATCCAAATTACAAATAACATATCCAAAGAAAGATGTAAAAACCATGATTTTGTTTGCTAAGGTGTTCCGAGTGGTTTTCACTGTGTTGTCGTGAGGTTTAGTGTTCAGAGAGGTTTCAGAATTATATACATTTGTTATTGTGTCACTGTTTTATTGTGTTCAGAGAGGGTTTTGGCATATAATGCATTTGTTAGTATGTCGCTATGCAGCTTTTATTGTGTTTAGAGTGATTTTAAGTTGTGTTATACACCTGTTAGCATGCTGAATTAGGTTTTTACGGTGTTCAGATGTTTTTAGCAAGTTATGTGCAAATTAATGTGTTTTTTATTGTATTCAGTGTGGTTTTAGCGTGTTATATGATTGTTAGCATGATGCTATGCAGCTTTTATTGGTGTTCTAAGTTCTATAACAAGTTAAATTTAAGACTTTTTAATACCACCTTATATGAAATTTAAGACCTAAACCTGTAATGGAAATACACATTATATTACATACATATATGTAATATTGAATGTGTTTAACGTAAAAAAACAAACAAAATATCATCACTGTAATAAATTATATTTATGATATACAGTGAACTTTTCATATCAGTAGACAATATTCCATGCAAAATATCCCCACAAAAGCACCGCAGCGCCAACATTTTTGGTAGTGCAAACAATTTATTCTGAAGAAATATTTTCATCAGTGTTCTATCAGCTTTTACATACTTAAATCTGCATATTTTTATTTACCTTTACAAAGGCCTATTTTTACAAATGCATAAATAATGTTTTGATATATTAAACATAAATCATTGAATACTGATATTTGAAGATTTAAACACCATCATGTTGCTAAGAGAGGCAAAACAGCGCTGTGGCTTTGTTTGGAATTATTTTTGTTGTTGAAATAGTGCAAAAACAGGCAATAGGGTGTTTAAAACGTATGTCTCTTAATTAACTTCTAGTTTATTGAACTGTTGTTAAAAAAATAAATAAAAATCAATTATCACATTTGTAATCATGGTAATTTTTGAAGAAAAAATGGACTCGTGAAATTGATTAACTATATGAAGTGGTATAAATATATACATTTTCTGCCCCCATGTCTTGAATTTGTG